ARRRRAAAAAAAACAAAAGAAATTTAAAATCTCTTTATGTACAAGAAAGTCAAAATGCCTTGGGAAAAGTTTAATTTAAACATGTGCTACATCAACTGTACTGTAATTCTGATCAGCGTGTATAAATACCTCAAGGGAGGCAGKGAGGAGGAGGGGGGCGGCCTCTTTTCAGTGGTGGGCAGGGATAGGACTAGAGGAAATGGCTTCAAACTGAAGCATCGGAAGTTCCACAGGAACTTAAGGAAGCATTTCTTCACTGTGAGGGTGACAAAGCACTGGAACAGGCTGCCCAGAGAGGTTGTGGAGTCTCCTTCTTTGGAGATCTTTAAAACCCGCTTGGAYGCAGCCCTGTGCCACGTGCTCTAGGTGACCCTGCGTGAGCAGGGGGGTTGGACTCGATGACCTCTGAGGTCCCTTCCAACCTTCGGCATTCTATGATTCTATGATTTGTGGGGTTGATGTTGACAGGTGCCACAAATTCAACCTTTTGTTCTAACAGGCAAGAGAGTGCACAACCAGATCTATAAACATCCACATGACAAAACAGTTAAATGCAGTTAAATGAACGTAACAAAACAGTTAAACTACACACTGACTGAGAAGGGAGGACTTTAACCAACAGGCTTTTTACAAGCACATCTTTTACACTGCCCTAAACATTTTCACAGCTAAAGAAAGCCAAGCACCACTCTGCAACTCAGTGATTTTATCACTCAATTACTTATACTGAATATCAGGTCTCTCTTTGGAGAGCCTGCAGGTCTATTCTTCATTTTTTACATCTACCTGATGCTAAAACACCTTTTAAAAATGCAAACTACTATATTCCCTAAGCTGAAATCCAGTGCTGATGGTGTGATCAATTCCTGCCTTCCTATAGACTTTTTATGCTGCAAAGTAACAATAAACTATAATGCCTCATATTGCATTGAGCTCAAATTATAAGTTATGCTTAAGAGAACAGCAGCTTTGTAGGCATTTGTGTATGTCCTTGGGACAAGGACTTCCTTCTCTTGCCAAAAAAGTACTGAGTAAAGGCCAGATAGACAACAAATAACACGTTACCTCTTGGTGATCTGCAGKGGGTCATGAAGGACTAGGTCATTTTCAAATGTCTCTTTGTCAAAGAGCCTCCTAACAGCATAGTTTGCAAGCTGTTCCATGAGAAGAAATGTTTCATTAATGTGCAAAAACATGGAGAAGTAGTGATCTTCCCCACGGGAACACACATGAATGCTCTCTGTTAGAATCACATTGGAAGTCTTCTCAAGCTTTGATATTTCATCCCATGAGATAATGAGTTTTACTGAAAATATGAATATAAGCAGATGTGAGTAACTTCTCTTTAGCTGCTTACTCTCATATTAGGCAAAGAAAWGCCGTAGACAATAGAAACTAAATAAAAATTAATTAAACAGTACAGTTAAATCATAACCATTTTGGAAAGGGCTACAATCCATAATCCCCAAAGCAAAGTCTCTTCACAATTCCTATGAAATAATTTTACTAGATAGAATTTTATAGAAAAAATACATCAAAGACACACAATGTTCAAATATAAAATGTTACATCCTCTATTCTTTGATCTAATATGAAACTGCAAATTACAAATAGTATTATGTAAGCTATAACAGTTTACCAACAGATGTTCTTAAATTGATCATTTATGGTATATTTARAGAACTGTATATTTAGATCTGTGCCTCTTTGCCATTACAAATGAAAAGCAGTTGCATGTATCTGCTCAGAAAGTATCCTACACTTTCTTAGTGTTTTCTAGTTTTTCATTATATACAGCTATTGCTCACACATATTTGTTTGGGTAGCTCAAACTAAGGTCACACAGAAAAAGAAGATGAAAGTATCACTAGTATGTAGTATACCCAGAGAAAAATTACGAAAGTCTGTATGTATAAATAACTAATCTCACAAAATGAATTCATCTGCAGCATGGACTACAGGTGAAGACCTTTATTTACACTCAACTGCAATAGTTCTGCCTTCTCTATGAAGCTTATATAGAGAAATCTAACAGACACTGTGTCTTAAGTTTTCTAATGCATTTATTCCCAGAAAGTATTTCTGCTTTGCTTTATTTTTCTGTCTTGTGCTGAAATCTGCTCATATGTGAAACAACTCAGGACACAGGAAGAATTCYGTCAAATCTGAAAGATACATAATAAAATCAGGGCTTACTTACTTTCTGCTCCCAACAAAAATGAGTAAAAACTAAGAAAGTTGGTACTAAGATAAAGCCATCCTTGACAAGGCACTCTGCCCCTCCAGTAACTGCATGAGTAATAGGTAACCAGCTTCTCTTGCTCAGGTAATCCAAAACACTTTTCAAATTTCATAAGAGCTTCACGAAACTTCTCAGGATCTTCTTCTTTTACAAAAGAACCTTTTCCCTCTTCAGCAATCAAACCCTAAAACAAAAGCATCAGTTACTTAGGGAAGAGTCCTTGTGGAAAGGTGTCATATGTGCAGATGCATACATACATCTGAAAGGAAAATCCARTTTGGCCTCTCCAAGTTATGCCTGTTACTTACTCTTATCTTTCCCTGGACAAAGCTTGTAATATCCTCATTTGAATCAAAAACAGATAAAGTCTTCATAACATTGTGTTCCAGCCAGTCCCAGTGTTCTGTTATTTCTTCTCTGCTGGCTCCTGTTTGAGAGAAYAAGTTAATAGTACTTAAAATGGATTTTAAGTATAATGTTTCACAAGAAAGCATAGCTGCATCTTAAATGGAAAACAAGCACACAATTTAATTCCTAATCCCAGAAGAAAAAAAGAACCACTGACTCACATAAATTTGATCCTTGAAATAACTTTTGACACCTCCAAAATTAGTACTAATTTCTTCTGGATCCTCTGGAACCTCAAATATGGGAATCAAGGATGTTTCCTTCCACTTCTTTACATACTTGCAAGAGGAGGAGTAACTTAGAATATCCTTAAGGATACCTCGATATCCTTAAGGACTGTATGAAGCATAAAGCCAAGATATATTCAATGATTCAAAATATAAAAACTGTTTCTAAACAGTTAGAGAGAAATCAAGCATGTTACTTTATTCATTTTACAATGTTTTTAATATCAGTTTCAGAGAGCTATCACCAACTGCATACTGAATGTCATTGCAACWTTATAGCAAAGAAAATCCTAACTCATTTGAGCTTTCCAGAACATATTTAGATTATTATTTTACTTTAAATGCAAAAGAAATCTCTCACCCACCAGCTACTTTTTCTAAACAGTAAAATGCGGTACGCAACAGTTATGATAATTCTGCTTATCTTTTTTAAATACTAAGTTACAAAGTATGCCAGCAGTAACAGATAATAAAGCAAAGATGATACAAGTAAAACAACAACAGTAAAGAGCCAGCAAATTCCATACTSAGTCAGCTCTTTAAAGATAGCTGGTTTTCTCCAACCCATCAGACAGTGGGGGAGAGGGAGGGAAAAAATTTATCACTGTTAGGGACTCTACAGTACGAATTAGTTGGTAGTTTCATCCTCCACAGGAATGTTCACAAATAAACTGTCAGTATGATTACATACCATCAGTCCTCTTGAAGAACAACACAACATTAACAATTCCTTCTTTCTCATATTACTTTGTAAAGACTAATTAAAAGGCTTCCACCAGACTCAACAGAATTAAAATTGCCTTGGGAATGAATAGAAACTGTTCTAAACATCGTTAAATATTTAGACTATGCTATACAGAGTGAATTTGCAATGGCATTTTAAAAATGATATAAAGAGTAATCAATACAGCAATGAAATTACAAACTAATTCTATCTCTCAGACTATACACAGAGGACAGAGAATTGTCAGAGGACAATTCTTTGAGTCATGGTAAGAATATGAGCCACAGATGTGACTTTGTAAGGATGATTTTTTTTATATATAATTTAGAAAAAAAAAAATAGGAGCACTGTCATTATTAAAAATCCCAACCTAAAAGTCATTTTGATAATAAGATTTTCATCAAGAACCTGTATCTGCTAATGCTAGAAATTACACTACCAGAAATAGTTTTGAATCCTGCTTCAGAACACTCACCTTTTACATTTATTATGTGTTCTATAGTGTGCTTTATTGCTTTGGAAACACACTTGATTTCCAAGGGCAAACTGGCTGAGGAATAAATTCCCAAATCAAGTATTATCTTCTTTGGAATCAGCCACCTTCCACTAATTTCTTTGGACATTTTGCATAATTTTCAGAACTCCCTCTAGAATTCCTCCTTCAGAAAATCAAGAATTGCTTTCCTGGAATATGAATCAGCCAACATTTTTCAGCTACACGTACAACAGTTGCCCAGCTAATATTGCCAGCCAGATTTACTATAATGTCTTGGAGAGGTCAGGAAAATAGTAGTTTCTACAATTTCTTCTGCTAGATTTGATTTCCTGAAACATAAATTTAATACCATAATACCAAAAAAATTTCATTTCAAGCTATTCCACTAATAAAAGAACCTACTTTCCAGGCTATGGCACTGCAATGGTGTCAGTTTTCTGAGCACAAGACCATGGCTAATGCCTTGTTTTCTCACATGAACCCTGTAAAACCAATTGGTTCTCTGCATCGTCATGGCAAACCCTGCCTTTTGAGGTAAAGCTTGTCACAAGCTTTGCAGGAATAAGAACGTAATCAAAATCGTACAAGAACAATCTATAGTAATCATCAGCTGCCTATCAGAAATAATTATGCATGCTGTCAGTCTAATGCATAAATAACAGTAGCAATTAGCACTAGACCACAAGACTATCAATTAACTCCAATATGAAGACAAGAACATGTCTAGGAAGGGAATCAAAGATGCAAGCAGTGAATGTAACATTCCTCTTAAGTTTTGGAATAGAGCTATCTCTGGACATACCCAGTATGTAGGCAGCCTACAGAAGGGAAAGAGATTTGATTCTCAGCTGAGGCTGCAAAACTTACATAAATAAAAATAAAGTAATTAAAACTCAGAGTATCCAAAAGAGTTCATTAGGGAAAACAAAACACACATACGCTGAAGGTCCATTTTCTTTTCCATTTCTTACTGTGTAATAACACAACAAGAGAAAGGGGAAGAACATGTTACATTATAGAAGAGAGAGATCTGAGAGGATAATTCAACTCTTCCCATGACTGGGGCCCTGACTTATAGGCTCAGCTCTCCTGAGGGTCAAATTTTACATATCATCCTGAACTCTGCCAAGTTACAGAGGTTATTTACAGGTTACAAAGGAAAAGATTGTACCACTATTATTCCAACAGAATAGTGCTCTAACACACTTGAAGGACTTTCCGAGAAATCAGGCAATCTGAAGTAATACAAGGAGTCCATAGATATATTCTGGAAATTCAGAACTATATATTGCTGTCAATCACAGGTTGCAATCTCAGAAGCATCGTTGCCAAATTACTATTTAGAGGCCACAGGAGTGAAAAATGATAAGATTATCCTAATCCAAATGTTAATATCTTCCTTTGCACCTTGACTAAATGATTTTTCACTTTATAAACTCACTTAACTTCTAAATAATAATACATACCACATGCAATGGACCAGTAAACTTGAGAATCCGGTGTCTGATGTAGGATGCGAAACGGGGCCACTTTTGATGTAGAATCCAGCACTGCATCTAGGGTTCCCACAAGAAGACCTGTTGCATTTAAAAAATAAAACATGTACAGCATAGTGAAACTTTTGAACATACATAATAAGTACAGAGTTATAAAATGTCTGGATTCTTTACAAAGCATCTATCAGATGACATACATGCAGCATGGAACATTAATATTTCACCTTACTATCACACATATAAAGTGCATTATTTCAATATTTATTATACATCTAAGATATATAGGCGAGTGCCTACACAACCCACCTTCTTGCCAACAGATGCTGAATTAACTCCTAAAGCACAGAACATGATTTTCCCATGGGTACACTTAAAACACGGAACCTCTGTGACTTGGCTATTCAAGGACCAGTAAATTACATGAATCAAAAATATTCTCGTGTGTTGTCTGCAACCCATAGATTTTAAGCACCCACAAACAACATCTCATCTTACAAAGTAGGGTTTTTTTAATAGTCTATAATTGAAAACAGACACTGAATTGATAATACAACATTTATGTCTGCTTAAGGCGCTTTGATTTACTGAATGAGTCATAACACTGAGCTCATCTCAAAGTTGGCTTTGTTTTAGCAGATGTTTTATTATCTCTTTCACCATTCTCTTAATATCATTTTCTGTTATGATACACRGTACAAGGACATTAGGCACCATTTATGTGGTTGATATAACGGCTAAGCCTGAAGAGATGATTAGGACATTGCATTAGAAAGCAGCACTCCTCAAAATGCCAGAACAGTGTCTGTCTATTTGGAAGGTCATAAGATTTTAGACACAATAAACTGTGGCAGGTTAATATGAGTCACTTCAACAGTTCTCCAGCCAATACTGCTTCGTCCAGGAATGTCATAAAGACTACAGGTTTGCACTTCAGGTAATAGATATTCGCTACATTACGAACTATGAATTTCACAGCTTTGGTAACTGGCATAACTGCAAGTAATTGGCAGAGTTACACCGTCTTACTCTGCTGCTAAAGTGCTCTAACTCCTCGGCATAAATTTTTGGAATATTGTATTTTCAGGCAGGGTTTCCATAACTACAAGTCATTCAGAGGATCTCAGCAAGCACTCCCTTTTATTCCTGTATTCTAATGGAAAATCAGAATCATATTCACCCCAGGAGTTGTGACCAATGTGAAGAGGTTTACTGGCACTCTGCTAATTCCATTCACACAGATCTATTGAAAAATGATTCATATCCGGAGTTACCAGCAAGCAAGGACTTAAAACCACCTGTATAATTACAAGGATATTAACCAGATAATACAGGAGTAGAGAAAAAGAGAACTAGAAGCTAGAATTATTCAAAAACTATACATCGACTCACAACAAAGCTAATTCAAACCAGTTTCAAACCMGCTATACACACAGACAGCACTGCATGCTTAAGAGGAAAAAACACTTTGCTTTTATGTAAACATTTTAAGTTTGAGTAAAACAAGTAGGAAACACCCTAAATACTTAAATAAATACAATATTTCATAAAATTAAATGGCAAAGAAACCAGAATAGCTTTGAACTAAGGATTTGTTCTTTCCACAGTCTCTGAAGTAGGTAACCGATAGAATATCAGCATCGACTGATACAATATCAACTAATTGCAACAAACTTTCTCAACAGCCTAAAACTAACATTCACAGATGAATGTAGATGATTCAGTGGTAACACAAAACAATGCTCCACAATACTGGCTTGGACCATCTTCTTGCTCATGATCACCTTCTTGTTATTTTGCTGCAGAGAGTTGCACCAAAATGCATTAGCAAGGAATTTTGCTTTCAGTTGTACCAGGTTATTGCAATAAAGCTCAATATGCTACATAAAAATAACTGCCTGATACTTTGCCACTTGGAGACAAACACCACAATGTTCTTCCAGATTTATTTCACCAAGTATATCAAGAGAGAGAGTGTTCATATTTGTATTTTATGTTGCTTCTCAATACCATAATCTTAAAATGTATTTCTGCTGTGCCAGATTTTTATTTATTTATTTATTTATTTATGAGATTTTTCTGTTACCTTTTCCTAAAAGAGCGCTATTAGTCTGAAGGAAAGTTAGGACAAGCCTGCTCTCTCTTTTGTTGCCTAACAGCATCTTGATGGTCAATGATTAAAAGTATTAAGAATGGCTCAGCATCTCCCACTTTATTAGACTGGAAGWATTAATGGACATAAAATAAATATTTGTAAGACAGTAACAGTTCCTTACAAGTAAAACTGTTGTATTGCCACAACCCTGATGAGACCCATAATGGCAAAGACTTTGAAAGCAGCCACTTCAATGCACAATTCAGTCCTCACTCTTAGTTATTTATAGCATCATAAAAAGGAGCTGATCAAAAGTGTTGCAATAGCTTTGTCTGAGTGACAAAAACTGCAGGCAATAATATTCCGCAACTATAGCTATAATTATTTTGATAGTAGCTGCTCATTTCTACATCCTAAAGAACTGAAAAGTTAACTGGAGCTGAACCAAAGGGAGGAAAAAACTATTTGACAACTAATAGATAACAAACATTGTTCATTTTGATCAGATGTCTGTCTACTTGAAGACAATATGATTGCAGACACAAAACCATTTATAAGCCACCATCTCAAAGTACGTGACTTAAAATATACAAATATCGATTCTTAGAGATGTAACATTGGTTAGCTTAAGTCTTCAATGAAAAAGATTCATCACTATTTACAGTAAAATAAGTACATTATAGTCATGGTTAAGTTTCACAGACATCACAGCTCTTGCTTCTGTTCAGCTAAAAGTGTAATGTAAACAAATATAGACTTCTGTACCAAGCCCTAGCTAATTCAGTGACAAGAACTCCTGCAATGCATTGCAGGGCCAAGAAAGAGGAGCCTACCCCGGTCATAGCCCTTTAATCTCCAGCCTGCTGGAGCCCTGTCTGCTCCTGGCAGAAGGTACAAACGGGGGTGAAGCTTCCAAGGTTCTCAGAGATTACAGCACTTTTAATGACTATTTCTAAAGCAAGTGCCACTGCTGGGACAGTGCTGTAGACTGTACTGGAAACTGAAAGCAGTTCCCCTCCTGAGAACCCGGTGGAGCCCAAGCTGTGCGTCTTCTGCCTCGCAYCCAATCCCTCTGCTTTTCCAGCTTCCATTTCTTCAGCAAACCATAACACCTCCCACAACTGTTGGTAGTTTGATTTCACACCTCCAGGGGTGCCTGGCTCCTACGCACTGAAAATGCACGCAGTGCTGTGATTCAGAAAGTTAAAGATTACATCCTTCAAATTATGCCCTAGTCATTTTCCCATCTTCCATCCCTAGTCATAAATAGGCTTCATAACAGTGTGGCATTATTTGTCTCACAAATAGATTCACTCCAAAGTAATCTTTGCTCCAGCTGAAGAAATAGGCAGCATAGATCTTTCCAGACCTTAATAAATATAGCAAGCAGGTTTACCTTTCAATTCCCATCACAGCTGGGAATCGGCTACAAGGAAGTTCCAGAAAAAAGCTGCAGGTATAAATGGTCTCTGGTATTTATGTTACTACTGTATATTTAGCCAAGCCACAGCATAGACCTTTATGTTTTGAAGAGTAAGCACCTTTTTTTGTTGTTGTTGTTGCATACTGGGCTTAGTTACAGTCCGAGTCTCACCTCCTGTCCTGCTGTTCCTACTACAAGTTATTTCTGTAAGTTTGTACAAAAATCACAAAGTGCTTGTTAATGAAATAATGTTTCCAGTAGAAAAGTCCGTTAGGGACATGCTCACCACCATTGATATTCACTTCTTGAAAACACTTTAACATGACTCCTTGGATTGACACTAGATAAGGAAAATTCTCCCTTGAGAACACATGCAGAGTCTCCTCTTCCTCCCACCTCGTATTTGTGAGCTAGGGCTGATGCAGACAAGCAGCTGTATCTTCTAAAGAGCAGCTGCACCAGCAGGGTCTTGTGCTGATTCAGGATTGCAATAATTGCCACAAGGAACCAGAACTGAAGAGTCAGGACTTTTCCCTGCTTAAGCAACATCCTTTTTATCCCAAGTATGGAATACACAGCAAGCTAGGAAGACTAATTGCAACCATGTATTTTATCAATAAACTTTCATTTCTCACAGTCCATTTTACTGAAATTTCTCAAGCAGAAAGAGGCAAAAGAAGACAATGGAAGCAGAAAACAACTTGCTTTCTGATGCTTTCGAAAGATGGATGTTTTGTGACAGTAAATATTTATATAACTACTCTAGGAATACCTGTTTTCTAATAAGTTCCTGTTTGAACAGTAACCAAAGGAACATTTTTTGGCCAACATGCTTTACCTCACTGTAACCATCTCTTGGTTACAGGATATATCTTCGTAATGCAGCTTTTGAGTCATCATATCTATGCTTTTGTACACAGGCCATTCTGTCTAGCCACAACTTCATCAGTACACTGTGAGAAACCTGAGTCGCACCTCCCACAGTGCCTCTGCAGAAGACACAATGACCAGAGCGGTCACAAGACTGCCCCGCCAGACATACAGCAGCTATTTTGGGATAGTCTACTACACACTGAATTATCAGGAAGTCGAACCGGTCAAACAGGTTAAAGTATTCGTAACCTTAGGTAAGTTCTAAGAAAGGAAAGAAGATGAAATGTAAAGCTAGGCAGGTGCATCCCTGAAGAAGGAGATTCAAGTCTTTGCAAAAACAGCACAAAATGCTTTTATTCATGACACCAGTCAACTAGTCATTATTCTATGTGTGGGCACAAGCCACAGAAGCTAACTACCACCCAAGGATCACAGACTGATGCTGCTGTAACAGTCAGTCCAGAAGGGTCACTTACCCAAATACAACCAGGGCTTTCCTTGTAAGTCTGATACAGCTCAAGAATTCCCATTCTTCCCTTGGGTAAGTGTTGTTGCTGTCATCTATCCCCTTCTGACTAGTCTGCACCTGTCTTCTCCTACTGGCTGCTTCCTCAAACCACACTCTTCTCTCCTTATGTTCTAGATTACCATGTGGGCTTCAGCATTCCTGGGAATCCCTTGCTACAGGCGCCTCAGCTTGTCCTCATTACCTGTTTCCAAGCCCTGCAGCACTGGGTATCTCCTCTTCCACTTTTATCCTGCAGCCCAGTATCTCCCTTCCCTCCAGACACGCTGGCACTGCTGCCTGCYGCCTCACACCTTATGTCTCATTTGCTGGGAAGTGCTGCTCAGGAGAAACAGAACAAAATTTTCCTTGGCACATTCGAGGTGATCTCATACCATAATAACTATATTATGCATTGTTCTAATGCATAATAAGCTTTAATTTTCTTGAGTGACGTTTAGCAATATAAAATTAAAATCAGACAAGGGCAAATTATGTTATACCTAGGAGGCTTGCATATTTTCATACCTACAAACAYAAATTTAACTACATTATTCTGCAATGCTCTTCTTAATACTTCCTATTCACAATTTGAATTGAGCAGCATTTCACTATTTTACTTTCTTGAAAAACGTATCTTGTACAGACAAAATCTGTATAAAACTAAAACTATGAAAAAAAGTTATTGAAATAAGATGTGCAATGCCACAGTTAAGGTATACTACAGAGATTATCCCATTCATGCATTTTTCTGCTCTGTCAAATATCATTAAGGACAGAAGACTAGTAACAGACAACTCAGGTGCAGGATAAATCAGCCAGACAAATCTCCCCAGCTGCAAGTCTACAAGGTTATTAAAAAAAAAATAATCCTAGAAGGGCAGGAGCTGGGATTCTGTAATTATTTCATTTAACCTTAACCCTTATTCCCTGCAAGTAGCTCCCATACCAATGAAGGATGCCCTACATTGCTCAGGGAGGTTTCTGCAACATTCATCTGAAATGAAGCTCTACAGTCAGAGTCCCTGTAGGCATAATGATGCAAACAGACAATAAATAAGAATAGAAAAATCACTTTCATATCTTGAATTTCTCACGGAACCAAGCTTTTGATACTGAGGTCAATATTAGTCTCCTGGTCTATCAAAGAATGATTAAGGTTGGAAGGGACCTCTAGAGATATGTAGCCCACCCACCCTGCTCAAGCAGGGTCATTTCACCATCCTCTCGTGCAGGAAGCTCCACCATATGCTTATTTGTGAACGGACAGATCAGAAACTCCACCTCAGGAGCTCATTCTAAGCAGCCTCAGAGTCAGGCAGAAAGAGGGACTCGAGATAAGCAAAGCAGGGCAGACGGGTCCTTTCAAACCTCTCCCTTTCCGAGGAGCTGAGGACCTAGCCCGGCCAGGGTCTCTGCTGGAGCCAAGGGCTGCTCAGCCCGGGAGAGCCCCGGGCTGCCCTGGCTCACCCCMGCTTTGGGTGACACTCCAGGGGTGCCGGGATGCCCCTCCTGGCCGGGCACTTCTGCCCACCAGAGAACTTCCCCAAACCCTCGAGGCCTCCGCGGCGGTGGGGGGGAAGCCCCGGGAAGGTCAWGGTCTCCAAACTGGGCCAGTCCCTCCCCGGCGGGGCCGGGCGGCCCGGCCAGCACCGCCCCCGCCGCTGCCCCGCTCCCCCGCCGGGGGCCGGTACCTGCCAGGCCGCCTCCGCCCTCCTCGCCGTAGCCCCGCCGCCTCTGCAGCACGAAGTACTGGTTGGAGCGCTCCAGCACCCACAGCTTGAGCGCGTTCTTCAGCAGCACCTCCTCGGGCTTCAGCCACATCTCGGCGGCCCCTCACGTCCTCCCGCCGCCGCCGCCCATGCCCGCCCGCTCCCACGTACACAGAGAGGCTGCCAAGCGCCGCCGCCGCGGGCGGAGGGAGGGAGGGCGGCCCTGCCGCCGCGGGGTCTGCTGGGAAATGTAGTCTTCGCTCCGCGCCCCCCAGCGCAGTGCCGAAGCCTCCGCACTACAGCTCCCGTGAGGCATTGCGCGGCCGCCCTGCCCCGCCCTGCCCCTCGCGGGGAGGTCGTTGGGGCAGTTGCACAGAGGGAGGGCGAAGGGGAGACGCGAAGCTGCTCCTCGCCCGAGGTGTGTCCATAAAGTCAGTTTTTAATCACGAATTTCTTTTAAATCTCGGACAAGCTAAAGGCGAGACCGGCCTTCCCCCACCTCAGAAATYGTGTCATTTGTAATTTTACGGTTATTTTCTAATCAGAACTTAGCCTTACACCCCATTTTTACACCCTTCTCTGCTCCTACAAACCAGCAAACAGAGGCATGGGAGAAAAGACACGAAAAGAACACGCAGTCAGCGCCTCTGTGCCTCATGTTGGGCCAAGACAGGCAGCTCCAGTGGCTGCATTATCCAAAAGGAATCAGCACAGAGTACAGAGTGAAGTAATATTCCTGTTTTCATTTTATCTGTGTTTATGACAGAACAGAGTAGGAAGCAGCAAGTTCCAGGTGCTCTACCTTTAGTAGTAAGGAAAAACGAATTAAAAGTCATTAACTAACATGTAGCATCTATCAGATGAAACATTAATGAGGCAAGGCAAACAACTTCAAGATGTACTTACAGATTGTTCTTCACAAGGGAGTTTCCTCCATCAGGCCACCTGAAGCAATTGAGAGTCCAAGATCCCCCGGGAACAGTTCATGTGTGTCATTTCTATGGCCATTCCTGCAGATTTACCAGCAGAACTCATCTAATGATTCCTGCAGSGATGCAGCTGTTCTAAGAGCATTTCCAGGGGGAATGTTTACCGTTTAATTTTCCTCAATTAGACAAGCCTTTGGATGTGAAACAGGCATGCAGGATCTAACACATCTTCTAATGATGATGCTAATTGTTTGGAGAAATGCCCTGAGAATTTCTTACCCGGAGCTCAGCGTTCAGCATATTACGCTGCYTGGACAAATGATATCTACCACCTCCTTCTTCAAGCTTTGTTAATCAAATAGCTTAAGAAAAACCTTCTGTTTATTAAAAAAAAAAAAAATCACTTTTGTTTTCCTGTCTCCCTGTATTCAAGGTCCTGGATGTCTTACTTTTTACATTCCCTTGCGAGTTGAATTCTTAATCAAATACTATTAAAACATCCTCTTGGAGGAATCTATTTATAGACACAAATTCTTAATCAGTGCACAGTCATCCTACAGAATAATTAATGCATTTCACAGCAAGAGAGATCTGTTGAGTGCTGCAGGATTTTTCTTTCCCTGTATTAAGGGCCTCCTGAAAACATTAAATTATTTTCCTTGAAGTAACCATAGCTATCAGCTCATAACCAGATGTTAAGTTCTGTCTGTATAAGGACTAATTTAACCAGCAACAAATCAGAGCCACCTGGATATCAGAGTTCAGTCCTAAGTTTCCCTTAGAGCCAAAATTAAATTGCCAAAGCCAGTAGATTTTCTACCATTACCTCTTTTTGTGAGGAGGGCAATATTCAAATCTGCATAGGAATAACAYTCATATAAACATAGGTGAAAAGGCAGAGATATCTTTTGTTAAACRTGGAATAAAATTCAGACAACCAAGATGTGCACGTTTATTTTGCCTGACTATTAGATCACTTGATAACTTCCAGATATTTCCAGTCTGAGATATACTAGATCTCACTGCTTTCTATAAAGTCAACTGCATTTTTCACTCAGGCTACTTTTATATATTTGCAGTTCCTCACAACAAGCCCTGCTTTTCCCTCAAGCCAAATTTGCTTTAACTGCATTTCTACAGCGACACTGGAAATTTTTTTTCTATGTGAGCAAATATTGTGTCAGCCTTGTATTTACAATAAAGATCACAGAGCTGTAAAGCCTGATTCACATAGCTACTCAATATCAGGTCATAGGGCTACCTGCCCTTCCTCTCTTGCTGAGGACATCTTTTCCAATCTCCATCAGAAAATATGGACTCATTTCTGAGTGAAATGTCCAGATCAGCAGTATCTACTGAGGAAGAGATAAATGACAGCAGTGAAAAAAACATACAGAGGTTTTCTCCTGTTCTGCTTTCTCTTTGGGGACAGAATAGTTGAAGTGTTTGTGATCTTTTGTGATTTGTGATATTTTCTCAAAGTGAGACAGCAACAGATCTGATCTCACTGTAATAGGTTTTGAATGCAAAAAAATCTGTACACTTTCCTTTGTAAACAAAATATCTCCATACCCAGTATTTGCAGAGTCTGCACACAAACAYATCAGACCCCCATGCTAAGCTGCAAAAATTCCCCCCTCCCAATAAAGACTTTCTGCTTATCAGTAGGCCAAGTACTGCTTAGTTATGTACATTGTTTCTACTCACTTTACAGTGCTTCAGACTTGAATGCAAGAAGATTCAGAATTTTTCAGCAAATCCAGTATAGCTGGTCTAAACTCTGAACAGGTTCACACATTTTCAGAACACATACACAGCATTTTTTTTTGAGCCAATTTCCTCACTGTGGTGTTCTGCTACACCCACCAGTACCATTGCATTTCTTGAGAAAATACTGTATAAAACTAGACTCTTAGACTAACAAAATATCAACAACAGAAAATCGCAGGTTCATTTTCTTAGAAAGTAAAAAGAAACATCTGAAATCCATAAACACAAAGTCCTTCAAATGCTTAAATCAGAAGAAAAAAAAATCACAAAGCACATTTCAAATACTAAACTGACCTTGAAGCTCCCCCATTGGTTTAAATATACATATATATAAATAGCTTCTCTGTTAAAACGCAGAAGACCAGCACTTGATTTCATACTGGCATATTATCATGGAACTACTCTATTGCTTATACATCACAATAAGTTCGTAAACAGCTTTTGAAATTAAATATTCAAAGGCTACATATTTAGCACTTGGCTGTATCTTTCTCTGCTCAGTTGTAGAATGGAAAGAGGATCACAGCTACCAGCACAAAACAGCTTCAGAGTGAAGTCAGGTTACACTCAGACTTACAAATTGAGGCCACAACCAACTAATACTTCCTGCACAGGACTCGAAAGCCTGCAAAACAGAACCGAGGGCAGGCTGGTAGGGCAGCATTCCCATAGTTAATGTAGTCACTGCCTTACCTTCCCTGCAGAATAAGCTGAAAAAACAGAAAGGCAAGGCTGTAAATACTATTGAATTGGCTAACGGATTTGACACCTCTTTACTATATTTAACTCTGCAGTACTGAACATCTGCAACWTAAGTAATTTTAAAATAGTTTAGGACCAAGTGACCAAATACTTTTAAAGGGAGAAATGTCAAAGACRGGCCTGACAGTGAGAAGGGAATTGTTCGAGCTGGCTGATGTGAAGAGATCAGGCAGAACTGCCACGTGGCAGCCTGCACCTAGAAGAGCAGGTTGGAAGTACCATCAAGAAGCTCCCWCAGGGCCCTTCTGTACCTGTGCACACGGGAGGCCTCTTGCAGAAGAGGGAATATGGCTCAAGACAAGATGCATCTTCTGTGTCACTCCTACTCCTTTTCTCACACGCTTTAACCTCTTTTGGTTGTTTGGTTGTTTAGACTTGACAACCTTGCCTCAAAGCACGTGTTATTCCTCCTTGTAAAGCTCAGCTCTAGACTCAGGCCTCTGGACACAGCTTTAGTCCAAACAACAGTAACCCCCATGGTAGCAATAGCAGTCCTTAATCCTGACAGTTTGAGTAAACTGTGCTACGTTTCGGCCTTTCAAAACTCAGTTTTGGGGGTGTGGAATGAGGCAAATTAGGATAACCGCCAACTCCAGTTTCTACATAAGAGCTGGTACCAAACATTCAATGCCAGTCATGAGCAGGTCATCAGAATACAGTTTTATTTACAATTTCAAGTTCAATACAAATCATAAATATTTACAACAATTGTATTACACTACAGATAAGAAAATGCATTTCTTTTCCCCCTCCCAATTCAATATTTTATTATAGACTTTAAGACAAAGTTCTGCTAGCATAGAAATAAACCACAGGTACAGAGATAAAAATAAAAATAAAGTGCATATGCAAGATGTCCTTATTACCTTTGATGGACAAGGCCATAGACTTAGTATTGAGGCACTCAGTGCTCCTCCTGACCCAGTTCAACTCCTCACAGATGGCAGAAAACTTCTCCAATAATCTGTCGCATTTACAGGACATCAGCTGCCACTGCCTCAGGCAAGACAACACACAGAGATCATGAGCAGCATTATTCAGATGTTGGACTCTTCCTGATGTTGCCTGAATAAAGCACAGCAGATCCTTTGAGAAGAATCCATCCTTTCATCTTACATTGTCTTCTGAAGTCATCTCAGTCTTCCAAAGCCAGGACTCCTGCATATTGCTGGTGCTAGAGATGATCATTACTCCAAATCAGGTCAGATCTTTCAGACAGTCTATTACTATTAACAAGTTTGAAAAGTTCCTGGAATTGTTCTTTTTACAGTATTGTGCAAGTCAGGTTTGGCCTGTCAGCCTGAAGCCCTTTTTCTCCTTTAGGAAAGGATTGGAGTTGAGCAGTAAAGAGATTCAATCAGCTTACCAGATACCAAAAGACACCGTGGGCAAAATCCAGTTTGACAGACACTAGACTCTATTTTGTCCTGTCAAATTAGTGCACAGAAATAGTAAGACAGTGTTACACCGAGCAATGGTGTCTGCTAAATATCAGACCAGATTAGAATGAATTTGTCTGCAATAAAAATCCTAAATCAAAACACACAAAAAGTCAAACAATTCCCGGGATAGACAACTACTACACAACAAAGAATCTTCTCCTTACGTAAAGGATGCAAATGCTGAATAGAACCTTGGACAAAAGATGGAACATTTGGTTTAGTGTTAAAATCTGATGGTTTTCTTTACATTAAGACAGCTTTAGCTGAAGAGCTAAAACTAACTTCCACATAGGAGAAAGTTGAAGTATTGCAAACCATGTAACGATGATTTAAATAAGTGTACTTGATCTTGACATTTCCAAGGCAACCTTTGCTGCTATAGTCATCCACCAGGTTCTTATGGTGTTTGATGTACATGTGACAGCTGTTGACAGCTCCTTGCAGAAGGGTAACACCAAATTTCTGCACATGTTCTTAGGTCTTGACTTCACGAGCTTGTGTTTCATCTGCTTCAAAGGTTGGATTGTCAAGATGTGGAAGGGCATTCACAGCGGAGGGTTGGGATTCATTATTTACAAGATGCATGTTGTCATCTATCCACAGCAAGAAAAGAAATATGTTAAAAATACATCTTCGCTACTTAAGAAAAAAATTACAAGCCTATTGCACTGGTCTCTTCACAAGACTTGAACACTGAAAATCCAAAGCCATGAACTAGGAATCCAAACTWTCCCACAACTACCACTCTCCTACTGGCCCTTCATTAGTTTCTAAGCCCATTGCCTGTTATTTCTAGATTGGTCCACGAGTCGTTTGAGTTCACTTCTCACCAGGGTTGAGCAAATCTAGGCTGTGCATACCTCAAGTGGCAGAAGGCAATGCAAGGCTACAACATCTAGAGTATAAGGCTACATAAGGAGACTGAAAAAATCTCTTATGACCTGAAGGACCACTGAAGACAAGTCTCTAGAGGAACTTGGAGACATRGGATGATTCACAGAAGAATTCTTTCCCTCTGGCCTAGCTTTGTTAGGCTGATATTAATACCTGCTTTTGCCATTCAGAGTGAGAATACTTAATGAAGGTATGCACAGTTTAAATAGTCCAAAATCACTTAATTTGTTTGTAAGCAAGCAAATTAACCCTCTGATGTCTTGCTTATAAGAAATATTCTCTCCTCTAATGGTGTGCCTAAACAGGAGCACTCCCATATACACTCTACTTGCAGGAGCAGGATGTCCCACAGGTGGCAGCAAACCCCACGCTTTCCTATCGTCTAAGGCCAGTTCTAGCAGGAGGTTTAAACAGACAACCAAAATATCTGCTGTCCACCTTTGTAAGAGTCACCCCTTGCTGTTCTTTCTAAAAGCATTCTATAATTGGGGGAGAACTACACCTGCTTTTGTCTGTTTACCTAGTTTCTTCACACTTAAAATCAACAAGACTGAGCACTTCTTGGCAAAAATAAGCACTAGAAAAACCTAACTTTTTAAATATCTTTTTAAACACATGCATTGAATTTTTTTTTCCTAGTGCTTACTTTTCAGTGAAATTCATTGAATTTTTCAGTCTTTTTCAGTGAAAGTTCTGTGAAAGCATTCAACGATGACTCAGCCTTTGCAAAATTTGAAATTCGGTATGCACTATTTGTCATTTCTATTCTTCATCATGTATACTAGTGCAAGGCTGACTCCCCAGAAGTTTTCTGCAAGTAATTAACTGCTTGAAGCAGACAGACCTAGTGGCAAGGCAGCACTTGCTTTTCCAGTATATAACTTCCAGAAGTGGGACATCTTCAAAAAAAAACCTTTGGCCTTTAAATAGAGTCTAGTTTTCAACTCCTCTTTTCTTAGGGTTCAGCTTTTAATAAGTTCAGGTTGTACCTCAGTAGAGAACAGCTAGCAAGTATAAATGCCAACTGCTTCAAAACAGAAGGTTAAGATTACTCTGTAAAACAAGGACTAAACAAGCACTAATAAGTTCAAGTACTATTAGATGCTACTCAAAGAAAAATAACTAATTTATAGCATATTCAACAAAAGCACAACATAACCTAACAAMCCATGTGAAGTAATATACTACTCACTTTCTGATGGTGCGTGTTCTTCCAGAACAGATTCATCTGCTCCTTGTACAGAAGCATATCCAGACGATGCAGTTTCACTATTACTATCCTCTTCATTAACTGAAGTGACATTTGATGCTTCACTGGATACCGTAGCTTGCACAGACTCTGCCCCATCTTCTATATCCGCCTTTGTGAAAGGGAAGCAAAATAATCAAGTTACAGCTCTGTAGGAAGAGGCATCTTTCCAAGAGGGCAATGCTTGCAGAGACTGAAATCTAGTAGACTTTTGGCCAGGAAGATGTCTAAAATTGAAAAAAAGCTTTCCTGCAAACCTCCAGCCTACTAAGTAAAAGCCAGTCACTGCCTAGTTAAAGTGGGAGGTTCAGTTCTTCCCTTTTCCCTGCCCAGTATCAGGAAGATCCTTTCACTGAGGGCAGTTCTCCACCTCCCCCCAAGGCTTCTGGCATGCAGTTCAGCTGGTCCAGGCCACGGTAGGCAATAGCAACAGTATTGTTCAGCACTTGGCACCATGAGCAGAGACAGATCACACTGGCATTTCTTGTGTATCCTAGGAAGTCACATGGCTCCCCCAAAAGCCACATGTACCAACCTAGCCTCTCTTCAAGGACTCTGGGTACTTTATAACTCAACAGAAGCTGCTTTCAAGGGCAGTATTTATTATCAAAGACACCTAAGCTTTGAGAAACACCTGTAACTGCAAACTAAGAGCAATTCTTCAGGTACACATAGCCACCAACTTAGGCTGTCATTTTGCCTGAGGCTTTAGATATCAGCTCAGACCACRTCAGCTGCAGGCTTCACCACGCTCCACCATTAGTCATACAGCATCCCACAGCTGACACAAGGTCTGTGCTTATCTGTATTCGAGGCAGCATAAAACAGCTCATATGCTGTCACCACACAGCATTTGCCACCAGGAAAGGACACCGACTTACCTCAATGCCCAAAGCTTTGAGTATGTCACATTTGCACATGGGACATGTCCTGTGCTCCAGGAGCCAAGGGTCAATACAGTTCTTGTGGAAGAGATGGCTGGTGGGAGAAGGTAACTGAGAAGTTTAGTTTCACACCAGGAAAAGCGTTTATACAGCTGCTGCCAAGGCTCATTTAGAAACACTAAGAACTCATTCATTCATTCTAGAATGATTTATTTTGTCCAAGTTACCATTTAAACTAATGACAAGTTTGTCACTCAGCCTGTAGTCTTTTTTGCGCTTAATGGTACCCCTGCATGACTTAAAACATTCAGCACCATCACCTGTTCTGCAAAGTTCTTTTAATCTGTACTATAGGTTCTCAGCTGACAACTAGCACACGTATAAGCACCAACATGAAATTCCATACCTCAGTCTTAGCTCTAAGGTCACCTTTTGCCAGGCATGACTAAACACCACTGCTTCTGTTAAAGCTACATAGAAAATCAGCTAACAAAGTTACTTCCTCAAGATAAACCACACACTCACATACTTTATCATAGTCTGTTTCAAGCAGTTACAAGGAACATAGGTCAGCCACTAAAGATGCCAGCATGTGCTCCTGTGAAGATGCTTGGTTCCAAAATGGGTCTAAATTAGGACTCAGGATGGGGAAAAAATACCTGAAAGCTACTTGAATTTTCCATTCCCAGCTACAGTGTATCTATCCCTTCAGCAAGGCAGACAGGCCCCATTCAATATTAATCAGATATGAGAAGAGTCAAGACTGTGCCCATATTTAGTACTCAGTATCAGTACTACTCTTCAACCTTTTACAAAGCTTCTCCAAATAGGACACTATAAGCAGCACATTCTTCCAGCTCTACTAACAATAAACTTCCTTGATGCATGGCTATTTTAAGTACTTGTACCTAGCATGGGTTTCATACGCCTCTGCTGTAAGTGTCTAGGGTTTGACTATCAGGATGAGAATGCCTTCTGCAAACACATACACCCTACAGTTAGATAACACTCATGTGACTCAGACTAGGCTCACAGGAGCATCTGATGGCCTGTTTCCCTCACGGATACTAGATTTCAACGAGTAGACTCTCAGCGTTGAGGTCCACCACCAACATCAAGTAGTTTTTTGCAGTAAATATCAGTTTACAGCTTACATGAGAGCAATTCAATAGAGTCCTGGCATAGCTTGTCAAGCAAGCACAAGCATCTTAAGTTAGTGCCTGTAAGAGCTACATTTGGGCCTAAGATGAATGAAGCATCACAAATACATTTGAAGCAGTCTCAGGGCAAAGCACACCACAAAATTTTAAGGATACAGTCAAGTTTTGAACGTATCTAGAATACATTCAAAAGAAGTTATTCTGTTCCTAACTCACTTTGTTTGCAATTTTATAGTCAAGGTTAGGAAGGTTTATAGGGAACTAACTTGCAAAGTCAGCTCAGCTATCAGCTGAAAGTATCTAGAGTTTGTCTAAATGTCTCCCCACCCATGAGGTTTAATGCCTTACTAAACAGGACTACCCACTAGCATAAACCAGACAAGACAACTAAATAATCATTAACAAACATTCCTGAAAGCTTACTCACTTTTGTTTTATTCCGAACTATTAAGCATCTAAACAAGGAAGTTTGGTGGTAGCACCTTAATAAATTGAGCTGTTGGTACCAAAACAGCAGAGAAGTCCTATTACCTGGAAGCAAAAAGCTTTTGCAAAACTAATCTTGTGCAAGGCTGTAGGTAACTGCAGCTCAAATTAAGATAACATTTGACAGATAGCACTGCTCAGCGCTGATCAACAGCTTCTGTTTTTTCCATCCTTCAGAGCTTGATTTTTCCTGTGTCAAATCATCCAACTGCTTTTGTAACCCTTTCCATGTCCAAGCATGCTCATACAAAATTCATGCTGTTCACACAGCATTTCAATTAAGCGTTCTTGTAACAAGCTCATTTTGGAAGATTTGCCAAAGTAGTTCTATTCAGCAGGCTTATGGAGAAATCACACTGGAAATTTCCTTAAGCCCTAACAAAGCTTCTCTCCTCRATTTGGGAGCAATTTTAAACTTCAGGGGGAGCGGACCATTTTGSTCAGTATTTCCAGTAAAGGAAGATAAATATTAATAAATAATTTCCAAAAGTAGACTCAATGCTACATTTATTTACATGTAAGTACTGCAAAATATCAACAAGTCTAAATAGGCCCACAAATTAAAACATTGCTGCTACAAAACTAGGCTCCCACAGGAACAGAATTGAGATGGAGTATTCCTCTAGAATACTCTACTGCTAATAGCAATAAAAAATAAGAGCTCAAGAGCTCTATTTTGGTCTTTATTTCAGAAAAAAATGCATGCAAAAATAGACCAGCTTCCTTCCAAACCACAGAAGTCAGAATGGTTTAAAAGCTGAGGTTAACAGACTGATATCCACATGGCCCTCTCAGTAACCAAGGAATCAGTCAACTCAAAGACAAGGAATAGGCATATTTTTGCCAGTCATCTGCAATTCAGAGGTAACATCTTTCTACACCAGCAAAGAAAGAACACTTATAAGCCCTCAGAACCCTTCAGGCAGGCACTGTGATGAGCAAAATTCTACTTATTGATCCATTCACAGTGSTTTTAAACACTGTCAACTGGTAGCACAGCACAAATGCAGTATTTACACAGTTGCTGCAGTTTCAACCGCTGCTTAACACACATTCAAGACTTCTTGCTGTGCAACAGCTTGATTAAAGTTTGTTCMGCTTTGTTAGCAGAAGAAAAGTCATGTTTCAAAATACAGGATTAAGGGCAGTTCAGAAGACAACTTACTTGCAAGTCAGAATGCGCACCACTTCGTTTGGCTTGTACAGCTCAATGCACACTGCACAGCTGTCTCCATCAGGRCCAGTTTCCTAAAGCAATGGATTTAGAGTGTTAGCCACCTTGGAAAGCTTTTGTGTGAACTACAGGCAGATTTATGTCAAGTAGCCCCCCCCTTTGCAGTAATCTAAATAGTTCCAGTATCTAGTCTCTCAAACACATTTTCTAGATTAGGTATTTGAACAGAGACATTCAAAGTTTAAGTAGGTAGTTCAGAAAGAGCTGCAAGCCATCACTGGATTATTTTAGAGGTTTAGAAATTACATTACATTAATTAATTAGAAAKTCTGGTCACAAAAAGAATAGCCTGGAAAACTAATGGTACTATWTTACTCCTAGGCATCCATGCCAGAAAAGCAGCATCTTCTGCCTTAAGGTGCTTATCTGAGATGCCGCTAACAGATTTATAAGAAGGTGCAAACTTGAAAGTTTGAAAAGAGATGGATGTGAAGGAAGAGTCAAGCCTGCAGCAGGAAGCTAAGGGCAGAGGTTCAAGGAGGCTTCTGCATTCTTCTCCTTCAGCACTAAGATGCTGTGCCAAAGGTGCATCATAAAGTTGAGAGATAATAGTCAGGGATACCTTGTCCCCTTGCTTCAGGGTGCGCAACTGCAGCTGTCCAATAGCCTTCTTTGCCTCAGCTTTTAATCGTCGCTGTAACAGAAAGCAGTTCTGATTAAACAGAAGCATTTTTCTCAGAAGCGGCGCTTACAAATATTTACCAAAGCACCTAATGCAAGCAGGCATCCATTTAAACCACACACATTAAAAGAAACCGCACAAATCCCACTAAATTTATGTAAAAAAAGACTATGCTATTTAGAAAATGAGGCAGAGGTTTTACATCGTTGAGTCCAAATGATTTACAAACAACAAAAAAAGGTATGCTTTGTTTTTACTGAGCTTTTTTGTGAAGCACAGGAATGTTAGAGGGKTTTTTTTAGAAACTTGGAGATATCTTGATCAGATTGCCAAAACAAACAGAAACCTTCAAATTAACTTGGTACAGAGGACTGAAGATTTTGTGACCAGCAATCAGCAAGCTGAACGAGTGGTTTGATGACAGCTTCCTGGCACAAGCTTGGAACACTGCATCCTGATAAAAGGCAAGTTTCCTTATCCATCAGCTCGAGTGCCACGAGCACACCCTGAATTAGTCCTCTGGCATGACTGCTCTATAGAGCRCTAACAGCTCAGGAGCTTACTCAGGACCCAGCATGGACCACTCCTGTCAAGTGGAGGAATGCAGTTTTATCTTAATATTGGGTCAAAGTAACACAAACAGAACAAACAAAAGAAAACCCGATTTCCCTCACAGCTATTTCGCCTTTTGAACAAAAAAAATAAGCTCTTGAAACAAGGTGTGATACAAATCAAATGACTAGCCTCGGGTGAATTACAAGACAGCTCTAATAAAAGCTGAGCAGGAAGCTGAATTGCACTTTCCTTCATCCAATTTGTTTGATGTTCTCAGACGTTAAGACACAGACAACCAGACATCAGGAGCCCAGCTTGCTTGGCAACTGCTTCTGCTCAGCTGTCATCACTACAAAGCACTTAATTAACACAGGAGCAACATCTGTTTAAAGGTCACAAGAACTGCACCAACACCAAGAACAGTCCTCTCCTTTCCTGCTGCAGTTACGCCTCGAAAACAGAGCGAGTTGGGCAACTCAGCAGTACCACATGCTGGCCCAACACAGCAGCTCTCTGGGACACAGGACTAAAGTTCCACAGATAACTACACACGCTGKTCAGGAAGGCAACATCTACTCCGTGACCTTTTCAGCCTGACTTCCACCTCCTAATTTCAGTTCATTTCAACAATTCGGGGCACCAGTACCATGTGTGCTATCATCAGAACACGAGTGCAGCAATACTGCACTTCTCATGTGCAGCTAGAGCTACAGGTCATAACTTCTTGCTATAAATTGTAAACTAAACTGTCCAGGAGGGCACTCCCTCATATCTATCTAATCTATGCATCTAATGTCTCGCCAAGTCTATTAGACAGGACCTAGCCGGCTGAATCATTAATAATTTACTAAAACAAAATTAAGCTTTGCCTGGGCACAAGTTTAATTGCTGTTCAGGAAAAGTACCAACGGCAAAGTCACCTTTAACACTTATTTTAGGATATACATCAGAACAGCCCCCTAGCAGGGTGGAGTAAGGTTGCACATGGAAAGTCTTATGCGACAGCCTATCATGAGACCCAAGATACTCAAGGCTGGAATGTCAATGTATTTTGTGAGGTCAAGTTCCTATAGCCCTGGCATGTTTGAGTAGAGAAGCACCTAAGTGGGCAAGTTAGATTTGCTGTTGCTTAGTTCCCAGGCTTTCCTATGATGTAGTAAGAGACTGCAGAGGTGGTGACTTGAATAAAGGCCAGATGAAAAATGCATTCAGATAAATATAGCAGACTAAACAGCTTAATTAGTTGACTCACAAGGAAAAAGCTTCTCAATTTCAGTTCAATTAAGGCAGATCACCTGTTATTACATTTTTGCTTTCGCTTAAATTACAACACAACATGCTYGCCTAGCACTTTTCAATATTTACTCAGCTTTCAAAAAAGGAGGTTGTAGTTTTACAATACTAAGTTATATGCAATTCCTGCTCAAGTTGAGTGAGGGCCAGACGTGCCAGCTTCAAGAAAAAAACTGCAGGGCAGAAGTGCTTGATGCAACCAAACCAGCTGGAGAGAGCCCTTCTTCCAGAAAATGCAAGCAGTCACACCAGAAGCACAGAATCTGCTAACAAACAGTGACACTTAAGTGCACTAAACAGCCCACCTATAAAACAWGAGTCTGCTTCCGCAGGCATTGAAGTCTGAACATGATTTCTCAAGACAAAGGAAGAAAACATTGCCAATGTTGTAACATCTGAAAACAATCCAATTCAAGCTGGGTGACCGCTAAGTCCRTGCACGAAAAAGCTTGGTTGCCTGTCAGACTTATTACAAAGAGGCCTTTGCAGAAGGGGCAAAGCCTCCAGAAAAGAGTCTTTCCCATCCTAACCCACRGCATTGCCCTTTTCAGTCCAGACCGAGAGCTCCGCAGGTCTGAGGATCACTCCACAAGAGTATGYCAAGTATTCAAGGATCTAAAGCAGCAAGAGGGCAAGTAGAGTGTTACCACAACACAACTTTCTCATTGTAGCGCTCTGCAAAAAGCAATCAAGAAGTGTCCCTTTTAGCTCAAGCAAATCTGATTTCAGACTTTTCAATAACAACTCATTCTTTTCCCTACAGGGCAGGTTAAAAAATGGGAATGGAGGAATGTGAGAAGGAATACCCCTTGGTAAACAGCTACTTTCAAATTAGTAGCACTCCTCTGAAGAGAAAACACGTAATATTTTATAACTATCAGGACACCTACTTTTTTAAAATACACCTCCTCGAAGGATGCATGCATAACCCCTAGACATGTTCATGATTCAAGAGGAAAAACATGTTCCCTTCCTCTGAACAACAGGCTAAAGTCCAAGTAATTGGAGTTTGCARGGCTGAATGATGACACGCAAGTTCCACGTGTAAGGTGAAAGCTCATAAGTGTTCGACTAATATTTGGGGGTTTAATCAAGTTAGTCAGGCAACTGAAAGTGTTAACGGAGACTTTGCATACAATACCAAAAAATCCAACTTGCTGTCTAACAGAGAATGCCACAGAAACACTGTTTTGCCAGTTCACCTTCACCAACAACTTTATTTTCTTTGCTTATCTAATCACTGTGAGGCCATAGTTTTTAGATACCATGGTTGAAAAAGCAACTAAAAAAGCCTGGGTTGTCCGAGTTTTGCTTATATAAGATAGTACTTGTATTCAAAACGACAGAGAAGCTTCCTTTGTTTTTTTGTTTCACAAGCCACTGTTCTAAGGTCTGTGTCTTCAGCAATTCAGCTGAAATTAGGTGAAAATGACATGTCATTTACCAATGTTATTTTTCAACCTAAAGTAAATTCCTTGTGCACATAGAAGCCAGGCTGGAAATAGCTCATGAAGGTACTAGCCAAGCAGACTATCTTCCCAATATTCTCTACCCAAGAGGCATCAATAGCATTTGTAAGTTGTTGAAAGCCTGCAAGCTCAGAGAACAGAGCTTGACTTCCATAACTGCTATAAATGCCCACAAAGGAGGACAGATTTTCCTGATTCAGTTCATGGTGACACTCGATGACTGGTTTCTAGGGTTCCCAGGTCTTCCTGCCCAAGTCTGTTTATATTTTACAGGAATATTGCTGTATCTTACAGGCAGTCCATAGCTTCCCACGCTGCTCTTTCCAATTATTCTTTTATTGTACGCATTTCTAGGTACAACGATCTCCAAACATGAGAACACGCTTAAAACAAACCACTTAGGGGAAGCCTAGCCTAGAAGACAGGCCTAGAAGACAGCTGTAGCTTAGGCCAGGTGCAAACACAGTTTCAGTTCACTGAGCTCTATAGTTAGTAAATACAGTAAATGTTCATCACCCATAAGATGACACTGGACAACAGGCTCCGAGAACACACACCAACTCAGCCAAGTTCAGTTCTGAGATTACTAGAAAGAGCCCAGCATTCAAYCCTGCTCAAGGTCCCCACGAACATCCCTATCACTTTCTTCGATCTCTTCCAATATCTCAGCATAACTGCTGCATCACCCTTCAGGGAATTAGATTTGTAGAAGACAAAACTAAGCACAATTGGTTGCATTCCCTAGATCGGTGTCTTTTGCCCACATCTGTAGAAAGGTTCAAGCTGCTTAAAAATGTACCTATTAGTATTTTAAAGATCACACACTCCTTCACATTGAAGCAACAAACTTGGTGATTTTGATGCTTTTGATGTCACCCTCAGGGATCCACAGCTATCCCAGAGCACCAACAAGCGATGCCACACACAAACTCACCTGCTTCCTGGACTGGGCCCTCGTGATCCTGAATCTCCGAGCAGAATAAAAAATGAAATAGCCCACAGTTGCTGCTGTGACAATGAAAAATGACACGGAGACAAAGAATATCGAGTAGTGATTCATCAAAGGGCCATGCTTCTTCCCCACTTCAATAACCATAGTCACTTTCATGCCGCTCTCAATCCGGCGTAAAATCTCTGTGCCTTTCAGGTTGCCGATCATAATTGCCACGATGCTTCCTGCACCTGCAAGAGAGAAAGGGAATCCATACTCAGCTGCCAGGCATTGAACAGAAGTGATTTTCACAGTTCTAATTCAAGCACCATACAGCAGACTGGAAAGCTGGAGTGGCATTTGCAAATTTAGCATGAGCTGGTGGATTTCAAGTGACAAATTCATCTGAAAAGTATTCATTATCTACGGGCTGCAGAGATGAGCTGCTGTTGGCAACCATTCCTCTCCATAAAGCCTCTCATTCCCACCTGGAACACTCAATTATTGTAGAAGCAACACTTGGGTGATTTACACTTTAACATGTCTTTGAAGAGCGTGACGTTACAAACAGTATTTTGTGCAGCAAGGTCACTAGAGACTGCAGCATGTCCCAGAGCACTCGCGCTCCAGGCACACAGCCTAGGGACATTCCTGTATGTGTTCCCCTCTGCTCTGCTGCTACTTCCTACTACCTCCTTCCTACTTTGGAAAGTAGGCTTAGCATTTAACCAAACACTGAAAAAAAACATGGATGACCCTTCACTTTTCTATTTTGGGGAGAAAAATATTTCAGTGAAATTCAGTGGTAAAYTAAGTGTTTTTTCTGCATTTCTCATGCAAATTTGGAGGGAAGACAATGCCGAGGTGTGGTTGGCCTTCAAGCAGTCTGTCGGTGTGGCAGGCTGCACACCCCATCACAATTTTAACATCAAATTTCTCTGGCTGAACATCATGACAAACCAGAGGGACCAAGAGGTCCCGTGATGTTTTGTGGTAGGAAGGAACATTGGGAAGTCTGGCCACTAAGTACAGAACAAAGCTGCTCTCATTTCAAATGATGAATAATGCTAAGAACACTTTGCAGTGTCTGTGGGAACTTAAGGCAATSCTAGTAGAAGAGGTTGCTCAGGAGAAAGGGATATGGGGAGGAGAGAAAAGAAAAAGCAATATGCAGTTGTCACTGGTTTCCCTCTAAATCAAGTAAGAAAACTAAATTCCAAGACTAGTCAGTCAGGAGTCTCAGAGCATTAAACTTGCAGCTATACAACTTTCATAACAGATACTACACAGAAAAGGAAGAAAGGCCATTATGGAACTGCTATTTTTAATGTAATGCAGCCAAAATGATTTTTAATAGGAGTCCAAAYTCCTCCCCTCCCCAGCAAGAGAAACCTCATCAATTTTAAGCTAGCAGAAAAAAAAAACAACCTAAAAATCCTAAAACTTTGTTAAAGCACCAAGGTTATCATTTGAGAAAGCACTCACTAATTTGCCAGTTTGTTCATGTAATGCTTTTGATGCAAGATGGCTAAGCATCATGTCTAGCAGCAACGCTCCTCAGTGTGACTAAACTCATCTTTTATTCARAAAGCTCCCTGTGAGAAGTATATCACACAGAAGAAACTCAGCCAGGCTGCAGCTACTGTCTTTATGACGAGCTTGGGTTTACAGGCCAGTTATGAAATGAGCTGGAGTCAAGAGCTCACAAGAATTCAGCCTGGCTCAAGCCAAGAGCTGAGACTTCTTATTTTCATAGCCCCAGAGGAAAGTGTGAAAGAACAGGCTGTGACAAGACACTGAAGAAAACTGCCAAAAAGAAACACGTTTCACCCTGTCATCCTTGAATAAGCCTCTCTGGCAAATATAGGGCATAGTTAAATGCAGTACCACATGTTAATGTAATATCATTATCAGCCTGCAAAACTACTTCAGCTACCAACCCATCAGTTAACTTTATGAATTTACCAACCTATTCTAAGAAAAAAACCCATTACATTCATTTAGGTTGCAGGCTTCTAATGACACAGAATGKCAGGAGACAGTTTTAAATCATTTTTCCCTGACTCCTTCCCTCTGCCCAGGGTTCCTTTTGCAATTTCAGTTCGGGTTGGTAATGCTTTAGGACRACACATGCGAGTTGCCATCTAGCAGCACTCAGAGAATTACTCTCACAGCAGTCACTAAAAGGAAATTTAGGTAAATATATCCTGCTCCTTCTCATACAGGGATGCTTGCTGTAAGTCAGAAATTGCTTTTCTTTGCCCTCAGTTAACATTTCAGTGCTCCCCACATGTAGGGATGGTGGGTTGTTTCATCAAGGAACAGCAGAGTGGGGCACACTGGGGTCAGGGCTCAGGCTGCAGGCAGGGCAGCTAGGAAGAGCTTTTAGGCAAGAGCTTTGACACTGAGCAGCCAGGGCAGAACCAAGAGGATGGTCGGTTCCTAGAGCAGCTGCACTACTTGCCTTAGGCAAGCACTTAATGATACAAATCAGCGCTMTCCACTATTTCCTGCTATGGGGGCATTTAGAACCAACTATTAACTCCTGAGGTGATCTTAAAAGAGCTAATCTAGCATCACAGAAAGTTAACTGAATGCCCTGTGCCATAAACAGGGCAAGGATCCCATTTCTGAGCCTAGCTCACCACAGCATAGTCACAGCCCAGTTCACCAGGACTACCTGGTGCAAAACTGTTGGGTACCACTTGGGAAGTGACTTCACTTCAGAAGTTCCTTTTGAGAAAGAAGGAAACTTGGCTCTGGCACTATGCCAACAGGTCTCTTATGGTGGGGAATAGTCCTTATCTGGCAAGTCACTGGGCCTCCCTTGCCCAGCAACAGGAGCTTGAGTGATATCTTATTAGCCTGGAGCAAAGACAGAAGAAACTTAACTTGTGCAGAAGAAAAATTATCCGCCACAATCCCACCAGAACCCAAGATCTTGACCAGAGAGTTGCTTTCTGCTACTCAGGTAGGGTTTCTGTAACACTTTTTAAGGGAATTTAGAGAGTAAAATTAAACTGCTGCCTCTCTATGTAATAATGGAGTCATGGTACAMAGAAGCAAAATCAGCTCAAGTTGAATATTTCCCAGCCTCACTCCTTTTCCCATCTCCTGTAAAATAGGACAGCAAGAGCCTGATTCAGGTACCTTCAGTAAATACAATCTGCCTCTGTAGAGACGGAGCTTTGCAGAAAGTACCTTGCAAATACAATAGCATGCTGGTGAGAGTCTGAAAAATGCTCTTTTCAGACACTGACACAAACGTAGCACAGGACCTTAAATGGTTTGTTGGGGCACAGAAAAAGCTGTGGCACCAGCACATTTGGCACAGAGTACATGGCTAGGGATCGGTGTTTTACCTTGCTGTGCCAGGTTTACTCGGACGCAGGGCAGAGTTRCATCTGTTTATGCCAATATTAAATAACTATATTAAACTCTGCCATGTATAGACCGTCCTTATTCCACCATTACACTTCTGCTGTTTGTAAACATGAAGTTACAGGTTTGGAGATTCAGTGGAGAAATGCAATGCTCAATATACATACAGAACCCTGAGCAGTAACCACAACAAACACCTGCAAAAACAAAATTACGCCATAAATACCTGCTTTTTCACCTTCATTAACAGGATTACTGCAATTCAGCGCTACTCTTGCATGTGTTACAGATAAATTAATTTTGAGCGAAACCAAGCAGGTCCTGAGAGGAGCCGTTCAGATGTTCCACAGACTGCAATACAACGTAATCAATGCCTTAAGTGCCAGTGATTCATAAGGAGAGAAGAAAAAAAGGATTCTGTTAATAGGTTGAAACATATCACAGCATGGATTAAATCTTGGGTCCACATAGAAATTCTCTGCTTCAAAACCAAGTATGGCAAAGCTGTGCTTTGGAGGTATTGCCCAATCCAGACAAACTTTAATATACAAGATAACCAACACTTCAGCTCTGATGTGGGTAAAGCTCCTGAAGTTCCATCTCCATGTGAGGAGGAACTTCTTCACTGTGAGGGTGACAGAGCCCTGGAACAGGSTGCCCAGGGAGGTTGTGGAGTCTCCTTCTCTGGAGATCTTCAAAATCCACCTGGATGCCACCCTGTGTCCCTGCTGGAGGAGGGGGCTGGACTAGATGATCTCTAGAGGTCCCTTCAAAAGTCAACTATTCCGTGTTTCTGTGAATAGTGGTAATCCCCTCTGCACCATCACTAAGAGGGGTGAGACTACTGTAAACGTGAAGGCAAAACTTGCATAGCAGGTCCATGTCAGAAGCAGTCACACTACCCCTACGTAGACTCCGTGACTTGCAGAACTAAAAGTCACCCCGTAGCAGCAGCTCTGCAGAGCGGCACAAAGCGATCGGGCCAAAGCCAGCCACGAAGCCACAAGATGACTTTCAGACTTGCCTAATATTCCTCTCCCTCCTCCCTTCCCATGACAGTAAGGGAACAGGAACCCCCAGCAGCTAATAGGAAACATCTTTTTCCAGGCATAGTACATATACAACYACAATTTCAAAAAATAATTTAACATTTATTTTTTCTTTTTTGTCTTTTTTAATGAAAATGGAATCAGGTTTTCTGCAGACACCAAAATTCTGTCATGGAAAGTTTTGCCCATGAGACACTTTGCGATGGGCATCGCTGAACCTGTTCACACTTTTTTTACTTGAAAATATGTAGCTGGGCAGCCAACCAGCAGGTAAGGGCCCTGACAGGCCTTTAAGAACAGCTGTGGGGTATAAACAAGTTTAACAGGCAGATATCTTCACCTGGGATGAAAGCTGAATACTCCCTGATTTACCACAGGTAAAATTTAGTSCCAGTGTCCTGCATTTCCAGCCTCACGGTTGAGAGCCACTTACTGCATCAGCACATCAAAATAAGGAGTCTTCTAAGCTTCACCCACTCCCACTTTCATAATGACCATCTCTTCTGAGGCAGCTTTGGTAGGCAAATCTTCCCTTAGGAGAAGAGGTTGTTATAGCAATGTGCTCTCCAGGGTGAACTGCATTACGTATTTCACTCTGCGTATTTAATAAAAATGAAGCACAATCTGGGAGGGGGAGAAAAGGGAGAGCCTCCAGTAATTAACATCTTTGCTATGTTACCAAAACCCTCCATGTCATTAAGGACATATTTGAGTTCCTCAGCTAATTAACTGCTTGAAAACAAGTTGACTTTAAAGGAACCTTTGTTTCATTCCCATATTTCTTATTCACCACCAAGCTCCATAACCAGGAATGCAGCACT